TTCACAAACTCTACGCCCTTCAGTCAACCTTTTGCAAAATAAGAAAAATCAGTGAGTCCCCTGCCAAGTGTTCTGTCCACAGCTTCGCTGAGTGTGCTCCCATTTGCTTCACTGTCCAGCCCGCGGGACCCACAGAGAAGTGAGTCATGGGAGTGCTCATGGTCAGGCCAAGGAGAGCCCTCTCAAGTAGTTTTGGGTTTCTCCAAGCACACAGAGGAAGACGCAAGGAAAACCCCAAAGTTCTAAGGAAGTGGTGCTACACATGCCTGATGTACCCCCGTCAGTAACGTCTCTCAGCGTCCCCTTATGGAAACACTAATCTACCATATTGCAGGCTGAGGGGTGACACGTATTGTGGGTGCTCAACTGTGTTCCAGGCTGAGAGAACAGCATGTGCAAAAGTCCTGGGGCAGGAGAGAACACGGTAGTATGAGGAACTGAAAGAAACCAGTGTAGCTGGAAGAGGGAGAGTAGAGGTAAGGGAGAGAGAAAGAGAGAGGGAGGGAGAGAGAATGTGTGTGTGTGTAGTGGGGAGGAGTTGTGGGTTGGGGTTGGGGGAGGTATGGTGCAAAATGAAGCCCAGAGCACATAGGGCCTGGTGACCACATGGAGGAGTTTTGTCTTTGGTCTAAGAGCAATGGAGAGTCATGGAGGGTTATAAGCAGGGAGTAACTGATCAGATTTGCCTTTTGCACAGATCCATTGGCTGCAGCGTAGGGACTGAATTGGAAGGCAAAGGAAGAGGAGGAGTTAGAAGGCTGTGGCTATGGTGGTGGTGGCTTTGACCCTTCAGTGGAAACGTGGATGAAGAAACAATTTAAGAACTAGAAAGTGAAAATTGCCAGAAGTTGGGGACTTAAGGTATTCTGGGAGTGGCGGTCATCGAACAGGTGAGGGAGTGTGATACTGATGGGTGGTACCCGTGGGTGTCATTGACCTGATACTGATGGGTGGTACATGCGTGTCACCGACGTGATACTGACGGGGTGGTACCCGTGGGTGTCACTGACGTGATACTGATGGGTGGTACCTGTGGGTGTCATTCATGGCTGGAGAAAGTGGAGGTCAGGACTATGTCTTCTGCAAAAAACAGGAAGCCTGCAGATAAAGGACAATGGTCTGTTTCTTGATGGTATCAATTCACCAAAGACCTGGGGTTAGCAACTCAATGGGTTCCATGGGAAGTAACAATGCTTCCCAGGCTGACAAGAGACTGACAGTAAAACAAGACCCCAAATAAAGGTTTGTTGAATGGATGAGTGAACGGCTGAGTCTGGAGCTGCCATTACAAAACTACAAGCCTCGATAATGGCCTGACCTCCTATAACTATTCTATGTTTGAAAAATATTTTAGACTCTTATTTTATGATCAAAAAAACCCTTCATGATTCTTCTTTGTGATTCTTAATAACCTAAGTCTTTTATTCTCCATCAAAAAAAATCTTGACTTTTATCTACATTTTTCATGCCTAATTATTTTTCTTCATCTATATTCTAATATGCTAAATATTATGATAATAAATCTAGATAATCTTTAGTTGGTCCTTTTTCTAAGCATACTAAATGTACATTAACTCTCGGAATCCAAATGAAACCTCGGTGTTTTCTATGTACTCACAAACAAGATGAATCGAGTTACTTGGGGGCAGGATGGGGAGAATTATCATTCTTTATCAAATGAAATAACACGCCAAAAAGTACTTTGAAGCCAAAAAGCACTGTACAAAATGTGAGCTGTTATTATCACTTGTTAAACAAAATTCCACAGTTAAAAAAAAATCATTAAAACCTTCGTAAGACATTTATTTATTCTAATGGAAGGAGAAAGACAGAATGTGCAAGATGGAGCTTTAAAAGGCCCTCACACGGCCCAGATTCTGGGTAGAGTTTGAAAGCCCCTGAGTCCACCAGGTATTTCTCAGCCACCAAACTTTCACAGGCCAACCATGAGTGCAGACGGTTGCCAGGCCAAGACTAAAATGAGGAGAAATTTCACTCCAAGCAGAAAGGGGCTGGAGTAAGATGCTCCCAAGATAGTCTTACAGGAGTTATCCCTCTCCCAGGCTACTGTTCAAATACTCAGTGAGGAGGAATTTCCATTTCAAGTCATACTTCCATTGGCATGCCAACTGGCCACCAGGAAGGTAGGAACTCAGGGCTGCGTCCCATTAGCCCAGCCCACACCCAGCACTCAAGAGCCCAGAAATGATCTGCCTGCCTGGAGAAACCTGGAATCAACCAGGATTACCTCCAAGTAGATGTTATTTTTCTTGGCAGGAGAACCTAAGTGTTGAGATAAATCACATCCACCTTCCTGGAGAACTTGAGGAGGGCCCAGAGCAGACATTCTGGCCATCCTGCAGTGGGGGATGTGCGAGCAGTTAGCCGGAGCCCATGTGACAAAGGTGAGGGAGGCCCAGATGCAATGGCTGCAGATAGCAGGGCCACAGATTTTCAAGGAGGTGACGCCACATACAAGGCCTGCCCGACATGTGATAGATGCTGCTCCAGCAAATCAAATACGCCATCTGCACGGAGAGAACTGCAGCCTGCAGAGGGTTAACCCACGGCCAGTCTCCCAGCAGGGAGGCCCTCTGGAGAAGCCAGAATCTGCTGCTAACACTCAGGGGCAGAAGGGAGCAACCTCCTGTCTCCCCCATTCATGATGGGGGCTTGCTCCTTACTGTCTCCCCATGGTCAAGCTTCTCTGCTGTTCTAAACACGACCAAAAATAAGAGAATGTATTTAGAGAGAAGCAGAGGAGGGAAGCATCACATATTTTAATTCATGAAGGGAGGGTAGATGATTATGAAGAGATTCAAGCTGAGAGCAAACTAAAAGAGATGAATAACCTAAACGTTAAAAATGAGTTAGAATTCCAATAAATAGAAGACGTTAAGAGTTTTTACCTTAAATGGTGAGATAAAAGAAAAGGAGATTAAAAAAAAAAAAGATTGCCAGTCAATGAAGCAAAAATTTAAAAGATGGAGGGCAAAAGAGATAAAAGATCAAGATAAATGGATTAAACCCGAGAGATGATAAATTAAAAATGTAAAAGTAAGTGATGAGTTTAAGGATTAAGAGGAGTTAGTAATAGAAAAGGCAAAAAAATTCCTTTTAAGAAATAAGACAGATCTTTTTTAATCAACTCGTTATTTCAGAAAACTTTTTGATTTACAGAAAAGTTGCAAAGACAGTACAGAGAGTTCCCATACACCTTTCACCTAGCTTCCCCTCATGTCAACATCTTACGTAAACACAGCACACCCGGCAAAACTAAGAAACCAATGTTGGTACATAACTAGGAAGTAAACATCAGACTTTATTTGGATTTCACTAATTTCCTTTTTCTGTTCTGGGATACCATATTGCATTTAAGAGAGAACTATATTTAAAAGAAAATAAAAGCAAAATTTTAAAAACTATCCAGATACACATGACAGAGGAAAACTGAAGAAGAGAAGAGAGTGACAACCAACGGAACAGACTGAAAAGCACAGGAACAGTCCTGAGTGAATTCAGACACCTGATTAATGACAAATTGGCAAGGCAGATCGGTGGGGAGAATGAAAGGCTATTTGATAAATGGTGCTGGGTAACTGGTTATCCATTTGGGACAAAAATAGGACCCTCCCTTACACCATACACCAAACTCAATTCCAGGTAGATTAAGGACTTAAATGTGAAAGGCAAAACTTGACAACTTTTAGAAGAATATATAGGACAATATGTTTATAACTTCAGGGCAGAAAGAACTTATTAAAGAAGATTTTTTAAGGCCAAACATAAAGGAAAGAAATGATACATTTGACTACATTAATGTTAAAAACTTCTATTCATCAAAAGAGATGATAAAGCAAGAAGGCATGCCACAAATCAGAAGACATTTGCCACACATCTAACAAAGAATTAGAACTCAGAATATTTTTTTAGTTCCTAAAAATTAATAAGAAAAAGAGAGACAACTCAATAGAAAAAACTGGGCAAAAGACATAGCCATTTCACAGAGGATGAAACACGAGAGGCCAATATACTTGTGAAAAGATACTCAACCTCATCAGCAGTCAGGGAAGTATAAACTGAAACCAAGCTGAGAGACCATTTTATTCTCACCAGATGGGTAAGAGAGTTAAACAGACTGGCCATATGGTAGTTGGCAAGAATGTGGAGCGATTGGAACACCTATGCATTGCTGGGGCCATAGTAATTGATGCAACCATTTTGGCAACCAATTATACATCATCTAGTCCAGTGGTTCCCCCCAGAGGACACTTGCCAATGTCTGGAGACCTTCTGGTTTCTTAAATGTGTTTGTGGGGGTGGAGGGGCTACTGGCATCTCAGGGGTAGAGGCCAGGGATGCTGCTAAACATCCTACAATGCACAGGACAGCCCCCACCACAAAGGATTATCCAGCCACAAGCATCAACAGTGCTGAAGTTGAGAAACGCTGATCTCATCAGGTTGAAGATGTGCAGACTCAGACCCAGCAGGTGTACTCCCAGGAATATGTCCTAGATCAGTCTCTCCAACACTTTCTTGATAAAAATTGAGAAGGGCACTTGTATCAAGGACTAAATCCCAGCCTTCTCTCTGGAGACGCTGATTCAGAAGGCTCAAGATGGCACCCAGCAATCAGGACTTTTTGACAAATGCCCCAGTGACTGGTACCACCAGAGAACTTTGGGAAACTATCCTAGGTGTTCAAGTGCACCAGAAGAATGTCCAAGAATGCTTCAAAGTAAAAAACTTGGAAAGAATCCAAATGTTCATCAACAGAGGAATGCAGGCATTAACTGTGGTCATTCATATAATGGAATATTACTACATTGCATTGACTTTTAAGATGCCATTGAGTGTAAGGTCATTAATTTACGAACCACTAAGAAAGAAAGAGGCTGCCAATTAATCTATGACACAGGGCTTTCTTATACTTAAATTTTTAAATCTAGTGTTATTTTTAATCTCTTTTAGATTTATTTAGACATATTTTATCATATATCATGCTGCTCTGTTCCCATGCCTTTCTGCGTAGAGGATATGCATAGACAGTCTTTTGTCTCAAGGCCAAGGCATAGTGTAATATTTTTGAAGACCTTTTAAACTCCAATTAAACTCAACTCCCATAAGATCAATAATGCACAATGCCTCAGGAGTGACGACATTATGAGGAGCCGTGTCCGTGGGCACAGAATGGGCAAGTAATGACAATTACAGCCCGACCCTGCAGGCAGACAGCGACTATGAGGTGCCAGAGATTGCAAATCACAGCCCAGCTGCAGAGATGCTAAACTGTGGGTGGACATGTGCATCTTAGAACTGGTGAAACACAGTAAAATGAACACATAAAACGAATGAACTACGATTATTCACACAGACCTGAACGAATCTCAAAACCAGAATAGTCAATTTAAAAAGGCAGTGAAGTGGGATTCCATTTTTATAAAGTTCAAAAACACGCAAAACTAAACTATATACTGTTTAGGGACACGTACATGTGAGGTGTCCCACAAAGTAAAGCAACCATAGTAAAAACAAATTCAGGACAGCACCATCCATAGGGGGTAGGGAAGGGAAATGCAATCAGGAGATGCACATAAAGGGCTTTCAGGAGCTTGTGTGGTTCTATTTCTCAAGTTCAGGTTTGGTTTCTGAGTCTTTTTATCAGGGCAGGGAGTACAGGGAGGCAAGTGAGGCACTACTTCCAAAATTTAAGGGGGAGGCCAAAACACTAGGTATCAAGGTAAAAATATTTTAATGCAACTTTTTTTTTGGTGAGGAAGATTTGCCCTGAGCTAACATCTGTTGCCAATCTTCCTCTATTTTTTTTTGCTTGAGGAAGATCAGCCCTGAGCTAATATCTATGCTAATCTTCCACTATTTTGTATGTGGGTCACCACCACAGCATGGCTGACAAGTGGTAGGTCCACGCCCAGGATCCAAACCTGTGAACCTGGGCCGCCGAAGTGGAGCATGCTGAACTTAACCACTACACCATGGGGCTGGCCATTTAATGCAACCCTTTTTAGACAAATGCAAAAAATCCATAATGAACAAAATATCAAACTTTTATATAAGGACAGGATTTGACCCTGCACTTACATGACCTTGCCTTGCTTGCCACTCCCTAATCCCGGCCCTGGTTCGAATAAAACTTTATTAACAAAAACAGGCGGCCGGCCCACAGGCCATTGTTTTCCCATTTGATTTTTTAAAATATTGCATTAAAATTTGATTATTATTCTTTAAAGTGTACATAGATTATAAATATGTATACATATGCAAATACACTATTCTTATTTGTGATTTTTTTTTAGATATTTTACAGAAAGGGAAAACCAGTAAGAAGAACACCCAAAACATCATTGAGCTGGGAGATCGCCACTGCAGCAGCCATTTATCAGTTATTACCAGTAAGATCAAGGGATGTTTCCGACCACAAACCCCAGAGGGGTGGGAGGCTTCACTCAAGCCTCTGCCATCCTGGCCTAGGAAGCTTCTCAATCAGCCTTCCCCCAATGGAACAGCACTCTTCAGTTTAGAAGCCCCTTTGCCATCCATTCCTGAATTTAATCTTTATCATACTGCCGTGGGGGAAATAGAAGAATCCTCATTTTCCAGATGGGGAAACCGAGTCTCAGAGAGGTTGACTAACCTGGCCAACACTATACAGTGAGGGATGGAAGAACCTGGCTCATACTGGGGGGTTCGAATCCATTCAACACGCATTCAGTCGTACGCCTTTCTCAATTAAGAAGTGCCTTCCCTCCCGTACTATTAAATCAGAAAATGGGGTGACACCAGTAAGCAAAGGGGGTTCCAGGGAGGCACTTTTGGCTGGGAAAATGGCTTAATCCTAAGAGCCTGTTCCCACAGTGCTGCAGGCAGTATGGCCCCGGGCGCCTGAGGATGGGCGGCAGCAGCTGCGTCTCATTGGCTCCCACCCACTCCTCCACCAAGAGCCCCCATGGGCTGTATGTCCAGATCCTCTTCCATGGAAAACCGCTGTCCAGGGAGCCAGCGGGGCATTTTGGGAAGCAGCACTTAACTCTTTATGGTCACCAGGAGGCCATCTGCAAGGTGATCACTCGAACACATTGACTGATGAGCAATTTCACAGCTGAGAAGAGCTCGTGTCATTTTCCCAAAAAGCACCCAGTTTACTTCCAGATTGATTCTACAGTCACCGGGAGACTGACTCATCAGAATGCACTCGCATACTTCAGGGCTGAAGCTGGACCCCGTACAGACACCTCTTAATTTTCTAGGGCTGCCGTAATAAAGTACCACCAACTGCGTAGCTTAAAACAGGGGAAATGTTCTCTCTCCCAGTTTTAGAGGCTAAAAGTCCGAAATCAAGGTGTCGGCAGGGCCAGGCTCCCTCTGAGGCTGAGTGGAATCCTTTTCCTTGCCTCTTCCAGCTTCTGGTGGTGGCTGGCAATTCTTGGTGCTCCTTGACTTGCAGCTGCATCCTCCCAGCCTCTGCCTCCGTGGTCACATGATGTTCTCCTCGTGTGATTCTGTCTCTGTGTCAGGTTTCTCTCTTCTTATAAGGACACCAGTCATATTGGATTAGGGACCCACACTACTCCAGTATGACTTCCTCTTAACTTGACTAATTACATTTGCAACAACCCCGTTTCCAAATAAGATCATATTCTGAGGTACTGGGGGTTGGGCCTTCAATATATCTTTTGGGGGAACTCATTTCAATCTGTAACAGACACACCTGTCAGGTAGCGGAAGTCGCCATTGAAGGGAGGTGTAGAAACAGTGCAGGCACGTCAGTGCCTGAGCCTGGGGCTTGAAAGTTTCCCCCAGCTCTGAGATTAAACCCCAGATACTAAACTAAAAGTCTGGGTCTGGCTCCTGCTCACCTCTCCAGTCTCACCTCTTCCTCTCTCCCCTGCTCCATCCACAGACTCCTGTGTTCCTGAAACCTGTCCAGCTCTTTTGGCACAAGCTGTTCCTTCTGCCTTAAATGCACATCCATCCCATTCGTCATCTGGCTAACCCTACTCAGCCTTCAAATCTCAGCGTAAAGGGCACTTGCCCTTGGAAGCCTCCCCTGATCCTCCAGCTAGATTAGGCCTCCCTGCACCTCCCACCATCACTGCTCCCTTGTTTTAATTTTCATAGCATCCTGGACATCCAGCTCTTATCGCTGCCATAATTGGCTGTTATATCCATCTCCCCCTGCAGTGTGGAGGTTCCATGAGGATGGAGATCCTGAATGTCTATTCATCCCCGTATCCCTGGTACCCACACAGGGAGTAGGCACTCAAAAATATTCTTGGTTGGATGGACAGATGGAAGAATGACTCTTGAAGAGATCAACTCAAAAGCTACACTGTCGGAAAAGCCACAGTTCCTGGATATTTCCAAAGCTCCAGACTCCAGAGCCAGCTGTGTAACGTAAGGAAGGCAGAAAAGTGCTCTGGACCTCAAGGTAAACCAAGTCCTGACCCCAAGTCCTTCCTCCCTCTCAGTGACCCTGAGGAAGCCACGCAACTTCCCAGGACCACTTCTCTTCGTTTTCAAAGTGAGAAAATCAGACCCCGCCTCCTCCTAGGGCTGTTGCAATGAAAACCCCAATCCCTGACACCACCAGGTGCTAAGTCCACACTAGGGTTGGGGTGGGTCTTTTTAATTTGTCAATGACATGTCAGCCTTGGGATGATTGAGTCCAATCAGGAATCAGGAGTTTGGGAAAATACTCTCCATCTTAGGGCCTCGGGTTTCCCATTCATAACATTTAAAGAAATTTCTAGGATAGCAGTTTCCAAATTGAGATTCAACCAAGTGTCTCAGGGGCCACCACTGTTGGGCGACTGGAGGAAGGGGAGCCCCAGGGGATGGGACTCCAGGCCCTCTGCTGCACATAACCCAGAACAACCCCTTTTATCTGCTGATTCATATCCTGTAGGGTTATATGAGATTCTTTTAGAAGAAGGGGTTTGGTTGCTAAATAATATTCATAATGAACCTTCAAAACTCCAGTCTAGAGAAATGTTTCCTGACTTGAATTTTATGGACCAGTAAATTTAATAAATATGGGATTGCCTAGAGTTGGCAATGTTTGTTTCCAAGTAAAGACACAACATAAAAAACAATCACCCTCTATAATTACCCATCATTTCATTTTAAAATGGACATTTAACACCAAAAGCATTGAAAGATATTATCTCAAACTAAAGGGCTGTTTATTAAGTTCACTAACATACTGCATGGAAACATTGTGGGTTTCTTGCCCTTATTTTCTCATTGGCTGGTGGCTGGTGAGAACATCACCAAGTCCCAACCTTGGTCTGGGGGCTGGTCTCCGTCATATTCCACAGGAGCTTGTTAAATACCCAGATTCTGGGCCCAGCCTCAGAGAACAGGATGAAGGAGAGTCTGATGCGGCTGATCCACAGAGCCAGCACTTAGGAACTGCCAGAGTCCCCTCCTGCTCCGAGTCTTAGGTATGAGGTCAACGATTTTATTCTGACACTATGACACAGTGACTTTGTAGGTACCTCCACAAGCATCCATTGAATGAATGAATGACCTTTGGGTGGTGAGCAGCAAATGTTTCAGGCCCTCTGGACGGCTGTGGAAGTCTCCTCCTTGGCCTGTCCCCACAGCCTGATCTGTCTGTCATCCACCCCAGGAACCGCAGTTCTGTCTGTAGTTCACACCTGCCTGCCCACCTACTGCCTCCACCTCTGCAAATGTGCATTCAGAGGCCTGAGCAGATGCCTCAGCGACAACTCTGCTGAAGATGCAGCAAGGGGACCAGATAATCTGACAGCCATGGGTGTGTTAGTAAGCAGGAACAGCGCTGGTGAACTACGGCCGCAGCAGGGCCCCAGCACCTGTAAGTCAGATGGGATCACACTGTGGTCCAGACCCTGTCTTCTGTTTATTTCCAGAGCTTGAGATGAGAAGAAGAAGCTCACAGCACCTACACCGCAGTCGTAGGTGCTCGGAAAATCCTCTAAGAGCTCAGCTTTACTCGTCCGGGACAGCTGAATAGGCGGCTACTCCAGCCAGACCAGTGGTTCTTGACCTCGGCTGCACACTGCAATCACCCAGGGAGCTTTAAAAAGCCCCTGGGCCCCACCCTGCAGGGGCTCTGACGTCAAGGGACTGGGGCACAGCCTGGGAATCAGAATTTTTTAAAATTTCCCAGGTGATCTGAATGTACAACCAAGGTTGGGAACCGGCAGGCTAGAAGCAGTTCCTTCTGGCTTCAGGACCAGATGAAAGCCAATAGTGAAGGGGAAAAAGAGATTCCTGGCACCTTCTGAAAGTGGGACTCTCAAGGAAGCAGAGAGGGGAATGCTCATCAAAGAGGTTCATGTTCCTCTTCTGAATTAATAGTCACTCATATTTCCCCCTGGCTACTCAATGAGGAGAGAAACAAATGAGGGCAGGAATCACGGAGCCCCACCCACAGAGCAGGGGAGTTCTATAGGGGGCAGTTGTTGCTCTTGCCTGCTCAGCACCCCTGTTCTGGGAGTTACGTCACCCTGGTATTCCCTAGAGATCCATTCCTCTTGATCGCAACCAATTGGTTCCGTGGGGTTGACTCCATCCCACAGCTTCAGGAGTGGGCCAATGACTTGCGCCACACAACAGATCCATCTAACTGACTAGAGTGATCAGTTCAGGACAGACGTATATGTTCCCCCATCAGACCAACTGGAGCTAATTCTGGGACTCTTTTTTTCTGAGGTACTTAGATCTGTAAAGATGGAAGCCAGGAGCAGCCAAGGGCCACCATGAACGGGCAGCCTAACTAAGAATGAAACCCACAAGGCAGAAAGCAGGACTGTGAGACGGGAGAGAAAAAGAACATGTCCCGATGACACTGAGCTCCTGGATCCACCATTCCTGAAGCCCTTGTTTATATCTAGATGTTTTTCTGTACATGAATCAGCAATTCTCCTTTATTCGCTGACGCCAGTACGTGGTGGGTCTCTGTGACTTGCTTCAGAAAAAGCCCTGATAAATGCAGTCCTGGAGATCTCTAAGCCAGGTACCCCTCTTTTGCCAATACCCCCACTCCTCTGTCCAGGTTCTGTGGGATTTCTAAAAGGGAGAGAAACTGGATAAGTAAGAACTGCCTCCTCTCTCCAGACCCCTGGATCCCCTATACCATACATCTCCTCTCAGAATTAAGTTTACACGTGTGCAGAGGCCATACTGTCCCTGGGGCAAACTTCAATTTCATAGCCTGCCTCCCCACTCATTGTCCCTGGAAACAGAATCCCACACTGCTTGGAAGGGGTTGTGATGGAGCAGTCACCTCAGTGTGGACAAGTGAGCCGTGGGTGTGGCAGCCCCTGACAAGGAAACAGGCCCTTGGATAAAAGCTTTGGCTTCTCATGAGGGCCAGCTGTGAAGGGACCTCATTAAATAGCGTGGTTGGAGGAGTCCCACTAAAAACCACACTGCTCTGGCTCCTCCGCAATTCCAGATCCAGCAGAGAAAACAATTGTGTCTCCTGGAACGTGTGTATGGGTATAATATATAACACAATATATATCATACATTGTGTTATATATAACATATACACATATTAATAACATTATATAAACTATAATTGCTTATATGTATTACCTACTCACCATGCATCTGGCACTGTGCTAGAAGTTTCCACGCCTTCTCTCATTTAATCCTGCAACCACCCTATGAGGGGTGCCCAACTCCTCCCCTAACTTTGCAGATGAGAACCTGAGGCTCAGAGACATCATTTACCTAAAGCCTCACAGCCTGCAGGGGGCAGAGCCGGGCTCTGAAACCAGGTTTTGTTTAGCTCTGAAGTCCAGTCAAATCTGGCCCATTGCCTGTTTTGTAAATAAAGCTTTATCAGAACGTGGCCCTGACCGTTCGGTTATGTTCGCACTACTACAGAAGAGTTGAGTAGTTGTGACAGAGACTGTTGACCTGCAAAGCTGAAAATATTTGCTCTCTGGCCCTTTAGAGCAAAGTAGCCAACCCCTGGCCTAAACATTCACAAGCGTTTTACAGCCTGTGACAGCTCACGTGTCTCACTGGCTCATTTGATCCTGGCTGCAGATCTGCGAGGTCACGGACACTTACGTCATCATTAACCCCATTTTACAGATGGGAAGACAGAGAGGGCCTGTGGTGGCCTGAGGTGGCTCTGCTGCTCGGGACCAGGCTGAGGCACAGCCCCTCGTGCTGCCTCCCAACCCAGGGGGTCCTGAAGTGCCCCCGTTTGGGTGACGAACAGGGTTAGCAGCCTCCCAGAGAGAGCCGCTGCGGGACGCAGCAAGAGTAGCACCCTGGAGGTGCTGGTGCCACTCGCGGTGGCTCCTGGGGTTTCCAGAGAACGCTGAAGCCAAAGGCTGCCTGGAGGCCTGGGGAAACAGAAAATAATGACCTCGGCTGGAAGCACGCTGGGGAGTGCCAATCAGCACCTAAGGACCTAGGACCACAGGCCTGTTGTGATGGGATCAGCAACAAGGTTCACCTGGAAGGGGCACGCCAACCCCCGCCCCAGACTGGACACCTCTGCCATCTGCTCCTTCCCTCCCTCTCTGCAGCACTTAGCACCAAATCCTAGGCTTTGTCCCAAGAGACAGATGCTCTGGTTTCCGAGGGAGGTGAGTCCTCCCTCCCTCCAGCCCCCCACCCACCACCTCCAGATCATCTCTATGACGGAATACGGCACACAGCAGCTGGCGGAGCTCAGGAGGCTGGGAAGACAGGTAGTTGGAGATGAGAGAGAGGAGGGAGAGAAGGGGACAGTGAGAGGCAAAGAGAGAGACAGGGATGAGAGACAGCCAGTGGAGAGAGGCTGAGACCGAGATTGAGAGAGAGAGCGAGAGCATGAAGGTGACACAGACGGAGAAAGAGGAGGGTGACAGTGTTGCAGGGGGGAACCAGCAGAAAAAGAGGCTGGTGATCCAGAGGGGTGGACAGACATTAAGACAGATATGACAGAAGACGAGAGCAAGGGAGAGTAAACAGAGAAGAGAGGAGAAGGAGGGGGAGAGGGATGCGGGCGCTAAGTGCCCAACCCCCTGCCTGGTGATGCCTGACCTTCAGCAGTGGGGAGAACTGCTCTAACAGGGGCCTCGAATGGAGCAGCGCGGGGCTGGGGGAGACACTTGAAACTTTTAATCCTGGCCGAGAAGACCGTGGCCTGAGACGAAAAGCAGGTTCTCAGATCCTGCCCAGACGCTGATGGGGATGGGGCAGCAGAGCAAGGATGTGAGCCAGTAATCAGCACAGGCCCAGGCCGCCCTTAGTGGGGAACTGTGACAAATCCACCTGAGGCCTAGGAAGCAGGCTGTTATTTGGAGAAGGAGGACTCTCCTCCTTCAAAAGGCGTAACAAACAGGTAAAATACCCAGGGTGAAAACCAAAGTTATCAAAGCCACACTCTAGGTGCATATACGTGGCCAAGAGGACAGCCTTTGTGGCATGTGAGTCACAGTGGAGGTCAGGAGGGGAGCCGGGGAGCACAGTCCTGAGGACGAGAAGAAAGGCTGACCACACCTCTTTGAAGAAAAAAAGTTCCTGTTACAAGAATTAGTAAAGGACGTGCTATTTATGGCAGGTATGGTCACAGCTGCTGGCCCCCATATAAATGTTGCTTAACCTGTGACAGCTTTTTTAAACCATTTTAATCTGTTGCCAACATTTTAAAAATTGTGTGATTGCCCACAAAAATCTAAGTGTCTGGCTTCTCTTGGAAAATGTGTATAATCTGGTGATGCTTTGTCCTTTTCCCATAGAAAAACAACTGGGTGCAACCAAGTGGTGACTGCCTTCTTTAGAAGGGGTGGGTGCACTCCATTTTTCCATAGTCCTCACCCTTCCCTATTGCCCAACACCAAGTGCATCCTTCATTCCTGATGTCCCCACGGTCCTCAATCCAGATTTACTGGGTAACCACCATGCTCCTAGTATGAGGCATTGGGGCCTCATTATTTATTCATTCAACACATATGTGTTCAGGGTCTACGGTGTGCCAGGCCCTGAGGATATAACCATGAACAGGACAAACAAGACATCACCTTTAGGGAGCACACACCCTGGTGGAGGAGACTGACCTTAATCCAATAACATTTTATCTCCTACAGTCTTCACAACAACCCTCCGAGGAAGGTAATGTTATACCCATTTTACATATCAGCAACCTGAGGCTTAAGGATTTTCTTATGCTTAGTGAGGTAGGTGCTTGTGTTTAGGGGGTATCCGAAAATATTTAACAATCATTATAGGATGGGCACTGGCCAATCAGAACACATGCCCAGCCAATCAGGAAATATGTCCAGCCAATCAGAAGACACGTCCAACCAATCAGAACACACACACCCTGCCAATCAGAATGCACACTGAGCCAATCAGGAAATATGCCCAGCCAATCAGGAAATACATCCAGCCAATCAGAAGACATGTCCAACCAATCAGAACACACACCCAGCTAATCAGAATGCACACCCAGCCAATCAGATTAAACAGCATTACAAATGCATAACAGCTAAAAGTCCGCCCTGCCTGTCTGTTTTGCTGTTTTACTGGGCAGGGATAATGCCATTTTGTCCATCTAAACAACTTCTAGTTTTCAAACGGTGGTCACGCACCTCCCAACAATCAGCATCTTGTGAGGTGGGCGGATATCGTCGACACGCCCATTTGCCAGATGAAGAAACCAGGGCTCTGCGATGTTGCACAATCTAACGAGAGCCACATCGCCAGGGGAGCAGTCCTGGGAGGAGAACTCAGACCTCCCAGTTCCTGGCCCAGAGCTTTTGCCTGTGTCCTACGTGGCTTCTAACCAACGAGACTGCACGCTCTCTGAGGTCAGGGACGGAGGCAGACGCCTTTGATACCTCCACGATGCTCAGTGCGATGGTCTGCACGTTTGTGTCCCTCCAAAATTCCCATGTTGAAATCCTAACGCCCGATCTGAGGACATTAGGAGGCGGAGCCTTTGGGAGGTGGTTAAGTCATGAGGGTGGGCCTTTATGAATGGGATTGTGCCCTTATAATAGAGCCCCCATAGAGTCTGCTAGCCCCCCTTCCAGCATCTGAGGACACAGCGAGAAGGTGCCGGTTATGAACCAGGAAGAGGCTCTCACCAGAACGCGACCATGCTGGCGCCTTGATCTTGGACTTCCCAGCCTCCAGAACTGTGAGAAATAATTGTCTGTTGTTTATAAACCACCCAGTCTATGGTACTTTGTCATAACAGCCCACAAGAACTACGAAAGTACACACTTTACACATCAGGAATTCAATCAATACTGATCCCTCATTCAGGTATGGTGGCAGTGGGGTGATGTCCAGCAGAAACCAATGAGCATCAGAGTTGACTGAAACCCAAACACCATATAATAGTATTGACGACCACAATACTTAGGTAATGCTTCCTATGCACCAGGCAGAGCATCCTTTCATTTCATCCTAATAACCACTCCACGAGAAAGGCATATCATGTCTATTTTAAAGATGAGGAAACAGAGGCTCAGAGATGTTAGGTAATAAATGGCAGAGATTAAGATTCAAACCCAGGTTTGTCTAACTCTCAACTCCATGTCTGGCTAATGGCAGGATGCTATGGCTTTGCCTTGGGGGTAGGACTGAGTCTCCACCTGGCACCATGGATAACCTTCCCTGGTAGGCTGTGTGCTTCCTAGAGACTCCAGGAGAGTGTCAGAGGGATAGAAAAGAAACTCCTTCCCAGGCATCCCTGAGAAACACACCCAAGGGAGACACTTGGAGAACTGAAAGGGTTTTCAGTACAATGGTGGAGACATGGCCCACTAATTTAGATCATGAACTAATTTGGCCAGGGGAATGCTCCTCAAAGCCCCTGAGGACAGGAGCCCCCCATTATTCATTTTTACTCTAGTGAACACTGGTTGTCAGCTTCCCCAGCATTCACTATCCCTTCTTAGACAAAAGCCTCAACTTCTAAGTCTTAAAGGTAAAGATCACAGCCCAGAATTAAGCCAATAAGTTTCCATCTGATTTGCCTGACCCCACTGATTGGTTTAGAGGTGAGCACATGGCCACGCTGGTTGAATCAGAATGAACCTCAGACCTAACTCAGTCCTCTATTACGGACAACAACAGGGAAGGGGCTGGGACTTCTAGGGCCAGCCTGCCACCACATGGAGCCTACAAGTGAAGTCATCCTAGAGAAGAATAGAGCTGAGAGATACAGAGAGACAGAGACCTGACATGATCTGCACCCCTAGATCCAGCCATACCTGAAGGCTGCACAACCCCTGGACTTTTCAGTTACATGTGCCAATAAATGACCTTCATACTAAAAAAGGCGCAAGTTTGGTTATCTGGCACTTGTAACCATAAGTCCTAAGCTATATGTCAGTACTATCACCATCATGCAGTGATAAAGACCTGCTTATTTTCCAATCAACAAAATGGTTTTTGACAGTTTTGCTTGGGCGCCTGCCTCTCTGGTCAGTTAAGGTGAGAGAACCATCCATAAAACCCCGAAGGCTGCATTGAAGTCCACCAACTTCAGTTCCTGCCTCAGTGATGCCAAAAGCAGCCAGCTCTGGAAGGCAACAAGCAGAATCCTTTCTCCCTTGCCCTCTAGATCCTGAGTAGCTGAAGGCTCACACTGCTGGCCACAAAGTGAACGCTCAAAAATCTTATTGTCCATTCAATAATGTGCGCCATCTCCATGCAAAGCACTGCAGATATGGTAATAAGCAAGAGCCATGTGGTCTCTGCCCTCATGGAACTCCTACTGGGGGAACAGGGCTTTAAACAAATGGATAAATAAACAGATGGCTGCCAATTGTGATAAGCGCTTCTGAAGAAAAGTACAGGAATTGAGAGAAGGTATAACTGACATAACTTGAGGAGTCAGGGGACACCTTCCCAGGAAGTGGTGATTGAGATGAAGTGACAACAGTGACAGGTGTCCAGGAGCCTAAGGGTGTGAGGCAGGAGAGAACACAGTTCACTCAAGGAATTTTTTTGGAAAGCCAGTGTGGCAGAGGGAACAAGAAGAGACTAGAGAGGGGGCGGGAGCCAGCT